ATTTCTCTGAGGGGTCACAGTTGATGTTACAGCTGCACTGCAGGCTGAAGGAGATGATTCTACTAATCTTAGTTTGTTTTTTAAGAAGACTATTAATTATTTCATTATTGATTAATGTGCTTATTGTTTTCTCGATTCATTGATTGTTTGAAATAGTATAGAAAAAAGGTCCCAGAGTCAGTGAGACCTACATTTGATAGATTGTCCTGATTTTGTCACAGACGTGACAGTTAATGCGTCCTGACACGATCAGATGACAAAAGTCTCATCGATAACACTTCTTCAGTATCCGATATCAGTAACAGCTGGGTAGCTAACAGCTATCCAAAGCCAACACAAACAAATACGTCTTAATTTACACTTCTTAGCTTACATGATATCTGCTATCCGATCTGCCCGAAAGGTATGAAGCAGGCTGGATCCAGCATCCTACCTACGAAAAGCAATGCGCCGTAATTCATAGATACCCCACAAAATGTTTTTCCGTATGTTATCCACGAAATCTTGGACGAGGAAGTATAAAGACCACTAAAACACACACCTGGCGGGCGAGAGGGGATGTGGATGAGTCCAATAAACAGTGATCTTTTAGTCAGGAGACCGCGGTTTGTTGTGAAACGAGAAGTCAATGTGGATTTATTTGTCACATAACTTGCCTCCATCAGTAACAGCACTTCGGTGGTTATTTTAACCCAAACGACAATCTTTTCTGAAACCTTATTTCATGATCTTTTCTTAAACCTAACTCAGTAGTTTTGTTTCCTAAACCTAACTGAGTTGTTTGAAAATACTGTATTCATGTAACAAGCAGAAATTGACACGTGTTGCTGGACTTAAAATGCACGAAAAATGAGGATTATGTTTTTTCGTTGGATATCATAAGAACCGTTTTATGATGATATGTTGCATGAAGTGGTCGCTCGCTCCCTTATTTTGTGGTTTCTTTTGTTCTCTGGCCGACTGCTGGACAACACAAGGGGCATAAAAATAAAATCTTTCTGTTCCTTTTGACTTATGAAACAGCCATTTCTTATATTTTGGGTCTGTTTGGACTTCACTAACGATGAAACCAGAATATATTCTGTTTAGAACGGTGTGAACATGCAGGGAAAACAAAAGCAAGTTTAGCAATATTAAAAAGATTGATCTTCACACATGAATGATGATAACTGGCAACAATCTAACCAAATGTAATATCTGCATGCACACTGCCGGAGCTGCTGTGGCAAAATGAGACAACTGGGACAAAAAATATCCTGACGCACAACAACTAATCAATGGACGGAGACAATCGTATTTGAATCAATAATAAATGCAAAGGAGCATCACAGATAACATCTCTGTGGTTTCACAGATTGCAGCCGTGATACAAGAGAAGCTTCTGTTTTTACATTTTTACATTTCTGGTCAAGAGCTGATATTTAATTGAAGTACAAGATCAGGGTTCAAGGAAGCCAATATATGGATCTAATCCTGGTTATGATGAAATTACCCTTCAATGGCTGCACGACATGGCTGTTTTTATTCTATTGTACCTCTCATTCATCACAAAGGACCAGGAGACAAGTGCGTATTTACTGTGTTTCACTAGAGAAGAAGGGTAAAAATCTCTCCTCGTTTTGCTGCCATGTGCTCCCGTTTATTTGCTTGTGTTTGATTTAGGACATGGATCTCTGGGTTTTCTCCCTCTCTGGTTTCCATGGTGATCCAGATTGTCAAATTCAATGTGAAATGTCCGCAATCACAAGGAATTGGGAGATATTGAAAAATGATTAATGTGACCATGCGGTGAAATCAGAGAAACTACTCTGGTCTCATAAAAAAGACACACAACACTTTTCTTGATTTTCTTTGTTGTTTTCTCTGTTTGTTTGTTTTTCTTGTGTCTTTTAAATTGAACTCCAGGTAGGCAGAGTCACTGGAAACCTTTTTAATAGACTCTGCAGCTGTCGCCACCGAGGTGACAATAACCTTTGAGTCAGGTTGTTTGATGAACTGTATCAATGAGTCACATCTGTGTTTTTCTCACTGTTGATTTTCTGAAGGCAACATCAAACATTTTGAAAAAAAGGAGATGGTCGAAGATATTTCCTCTGAAATGGTGCTCGTGATGCTTTTATTGTGGTAAAAGATTGACTTCTCTGTGGTACAGCTGTGTAGTTGATGAAGAGTGAAATGAAACTGCATACGTGAATGCCTGCTGTACTGTGCTTGTATTTGTAGTATATAGTATTGTGTTACATTTAAGTTCAGTTTGTTGAAAGTAACTATCATTTTCTTGATTATACTTAAGGTATTTGCAGTACAATTGCGCATAATTTGTGCGAATAAATCACATGTCAATTTAAAAATTGGAACCCATTTCTTTCTATGAGCCGATTCACAACAAATAGTGTTTTTCAGTGCACCTACATGAATCTCTGCAAATTTAATATAAACAAACCAGCCAATTAAAAAAATAACTTTTGCTCACGTTATATATAGAGAACAATTAATTTCCAAGTGCATTAGCTGACGTTTTGCTGTGGACATTAAACGTGTCAGAAATAACATGTAGACGTTGTGAGAGGTAAACGTTAACCTGACAATAGAGGATTAGTGACAGCATTGGATTCATTTTATTATGACTGCACCAGCAATTGAAGTCTATGAGCTCACTGTCTTCCCTTGATAAGTCCATTGAGCCCCGGAGGTATTTTAAGGCTGATTGTAAACTGACCATTAAATCTTAAAGTATTATATTTCGACATAATAAACATGTAAATATAATAACCACATATGATTCAGTCCAGTCATGAATGAACCTGTGCAATGAAGACACTCGTTACAATAACATGACAACTTTAATACAATTGTTCACTTGGAATAACGATTTACGGGGTTTATTTTCGTAAAGACAATGATGAATCTATAATTGTGTGATGGTGTGAACCTTTTCATTTTTTGTTGCATGCATTACAAATATTTGAAATATTTGTGTCGGTCTTGGTGTCAAAGGTTTGGATCGTTGAATATTCTGTATTTTTGTTTTGTTTTTGCACAGGTGTAACGTATATCATGTTTTGGTCTTAGTTTAGCGCGTTAGCATGCTAACATTCCCACTGAACACAAAGTACAGCTGAGGCTGATATTTTTGCAGTTAAATTCATTACAATTTATCCTCTGGGGAACATGAATGTCTGTACAAAATTAAGTGACAATCCATCTGTGTTGTTGAGATATGTAACTCTGGACCGACGGACCAATATTGACATCCTTAGCCTCACACTGCTAGTGAAGCTAATATTAACCCGAATAAATGCTCATTCTTTTGTTTCTTCTTCATTACTAAATTAAAATGACTGTATGAATGTGTGGGCGAGTGCACCATCTGCTAGAAGATATTTACCAACAGTGTCAGCTCCAGTTAGTGTCTGCCAGCCGACTCTCCTCTCCCAGTACTGGATGTTCCCAGTTCATGTTAACCAGAAAGCTGCTGGGTTGCCAATGAAATATCAATTATCAGCATGGCCCACATGTGGGAACACACTCTGTTTAATTTACCTGCCGTATCAATAGTCCGACCACATATAGCTGCTGTGGTCAAATCAATCTACCTGCAAACATCCATCTTCACCCAGTTTAATTGTTTCCTGTCTGACACATCGTTTCATATCCACCTCATCCCCATCTGCATCGTTTTATCAGTATCCTTTGTTTTTCTTTTTGTCTCTCTGCTACTCGCTCTGAGTGTTATCTTTGCCTGCTTCCTGTGTTTTTCATTGTAAACATGTTGATGACATTACAGTTTTTAATGATTGTTTTGTTCTCAGTTCTCATAACAGAATTTCAATGTACGAAGACCCAAACTGACTAAATCACTGAAATGGTGGATGTGTTTGCAAACATTTCCTCTCATTGTAATATCACTATACTCATGAGTGCTGTTGCGACATAATTGCAGATTACTTCAACACTGCAGCCATTCATCTGAAATGTATTGGAAAAGAGAATGCACCAGAATATATAGAAAATATTTTTAATTTCTCTCTTTTTGATTACTTTCACTAAGTTTGTATCGAGGGTCTGTTGCATATTAAAATAGTCTCAAAGGATATTTAAATAATGGAACTTGCAATTGATTGAAGCACGTTTTAGTGTCTCATATAAAAACAACCTTTGGGATCCATTCATGAACAGAAAAAGCAATCAGCATTTTGTCTGAGTGTGCGATTTACTGCAGTGTAAAGTCAGGCAACATTATCGACGGTAAAGCGGTACAATCAACGTTTTTCAAAGTCATTCTTACTCTACATTAACAAATACATCTGTAGGCTTCTTCTGCATACATTAATAGCCGTATGCTCTTTGCTACTTGTATAATCTTGGGGAAAGGATCATCAGCAGTCTGCTTTTATTTTAAAAATGTAACTGATTAAAATCCAATGGTAAACATTTACAATGTTAAGATGCTGAACGTTATGTGCAAATTATGAAGCATTCATCAAATACTGTGACAGGCACTCAGATTAAAAAAATGACTGAAAATAATTAAACCATCCTGTAATCATAAATAAATGTTTCTGAGTTACAACATTCAGGTAGATTTGATATAATTAACAAATCTCCTACATATATTTTAACTCAATGTGTAGTGAAAGTGTGTCATTTCAAAATGATTTAAACTAAAATGTCCCTAAAACAAAAGGATCATATCAGCAAAAATTACTATGCAGCATAACTTGGCACAAACACCTTTGGTTAGATCTCAGTCAAATACCTGCTGGAGGTTTTCAAGGTTAAAAATGTGCAAATATACAGTTTTTCAAATAAAGAAAGAAATGTGCTTTTGAAGTCAGCAGCAGTTAATCATTGGACGTAAGCTTACCGTGTCGGTAAAGAATCTCTCTTTTGTCATTGGGAGACAAAAATGTGTTTTAATTCTTTCCAGTCTCCTCAGAAATTACACAAAAATAGAAAATTATTCACTTAGATAACTAATTGAGTTTTCCCTCCAACAGAACAGATGGGCGGGAGCTGAGACAACAGAAGGACGAAGCAACAGAAAGAGCACATCACATGGGTGCCATCTCGCTTCCCGTGCTAGAGATGACGGATGAGACGTGGGAGAACGGCAGCTTCGCCAGTCCGTCGCCCGGACTCCCCCTGTTTCTGCTCATGTTCAACGACAGCGATCTGAACGAGACGCTGTTAAACTCCACCAACTCCAGCATCCCAGATGTGTCCTCAGGTCCCAGCGTGGCGGGGGTCCTCATACCGCTCATATACATAATCGTGTGTATCATCGGCCTCGGCGGAAACACTTTGGTGATTCACATTGTGCTGCACTATTCAAAGATAGAGTCGGTGACCAACATCTACATCCTCAACTTAGCCATCGCTGACGAGCTCTTCATGCTCGGCCTGCCCTTCCTGGCGGTTCAGAACACGCTCCAGTCATGGCCGTTCGGCTCCTTCATGTGCCGACTGGTGATGACGGTCGACTCCATCAACCAGTTCACCAGCATCTTCTGCCTGACCGTGATGAGCATCGACCGCTACCTCGCTGTAGTCCACCCCATTCGGTCGTCAAAGTGGCGGCGGCCCCAGGTGGCCAAAGTGGTGAACGGCACCGTCTGGGCTCTGTCGTTTCTCGTCGTCCTGCCTGTGGTGATCTTTGCCAACATCCAGAAAGCCGGAGGTACCTGTAACATCGCCTGGCCGCAGCCGGCTAACATCTGGCGGGCAGCTTTCATCATTTACACCTCCACGGTGGGATTCTTCTGCCCTCTTCTCATCATCTGCCTCTGCTACCTGCTCATCGTCTTCAAGATCCGCAGCTCGGGTAAAAAGGTCCACGCCACCTCTACCAAGCGCAGGAAGTCGGAGAGAAAAGTGACGCGCATGGTCGTGATTGTTGTCGCCGTGTTTGTCTTCTGCTGGCTGCCTTTCTACGCCCTCAACATCATCAACCTGCTGGTGTCGCTGCCCTCAGAGTACCAGGGCCTTTACTATTTCGTGGTCGTGCTCGGCTACGCTAACAGCTGCGCCAACCCCATTGTCTACTGCTTCCTGTCGGACAACTTCAAGAGGGGCTTCCGGAAAGCACTCTGCCGCTCCACAAGGAAGGTGGAGAACCACGAGCCCATGGAGCGCCAACAGCAGAAGGAGGGCAGGTCGGCGATCATGCCCAGGGAGAGCCTGAGGCGGGCGATCAGGGCCGAAGAGGATGAAGAGGAGGAAGACGTCTCTGAAATGAATGAGATCTACAGAATCGCCCAAAATGGCAACGGCAGCTTCCAGCCACAGAGCTCGCAGCCGCTGTTGTCGGATAAAGGAGTGACTCCGGGAGCAACGGAGCTGTTGTCCCCAGAAAGGAAGGACAAGTCTGGGGACTTGAAAGGGAAAGATGCAGCCAACGGGTCCACGCTGACTGTACCGTTGCTTCTCAATGGAACCAAAAATGGGAGCATTAAAACTCTGCCAGAGGAAGCATTGGACCAGAGCACCTCACTGGAGATAAGTTACTTATAAAGGATCGTATGCTACTTGCAGTGAACTCAGTATTACGACACGGGGCAGCCAACACTGAGCTGTTTGTAAAAAAAAAAAAAAAAAACAGATATATAATGAAGACTTGAGGAAAACTTGCTTTTTTTCATCAATGGACTCAAAGTTTCTTTAACATTTGAAGGAGTTGTTAAACTTTTACCAACATACATCATGTATTCCTGTTTATATCATGTACATACGCATGAATATGAATGTACAAAGTTGTGCCTTTATTTACTTTTATCACATGTATCTTGTTGATTGTGGTACTTTAGCCTTTTTATTCCATAATGTATCAATCATTCGCTCAAATTTGACTGTATAAACTTAAACCAACATTCACTGCAACCATCCATAGCTGAACATCGATGGTATGACTTTATTTAGGAAGGACTCCCATGACTGCAACCCCCTATAAATCATATTTATGAATGTTTTAAGGGAGGTATGATTGCTGCCAGGATTGTGTTTGCAGGATTGTGTTGCCAATAAAGCTGATTCTGATTCTGATTCTGATTCTGATTCTGATTCTGAGATATGGAGGAGATGAAATCATACAGGTTCACCAGAAACTCCTTCAGCTCAGACTCCAGCGGGGCCTCCAGCAGAGACCGGTCCACCGTGAACTGACCCAGATCCTCCAGCAAAGACCGGTCCACTGTGGACAGACCCAGATCCTCCAGCAGAGACCGGTCCACTGTGGACAGACCCAGATCAGATCAGCCTCAGACCTGCAGTCGGAGCTCCGGAGGGAGGAGGAGAGCTCAGCTCCCGGCAGCAGCAGCGTCTCCTCCTCTTCCTCCTCCAGGAGCAGAGCTCCTCCTCTCTGGGAGCCGACACCATGCTGCTGGAGACCCAGGACGTATTGCCGGACCCGCTGGAGGGAAGGGAGGCACGGGAGAACCAGGACTGAGAGGATCAGACTGTCAGACTCTGCTGCAGTAAAATGAGAGGTTTTCTAAAGGGACTCTGGTGCTCAGAAACACTACAGCTTTAGTCCACAGGGACCAACAGAACCAACAGAAAATGGAAGTTCCTCGTAGTAACGTTGAGTAGGATTATGAGTATTTCTACACTGTGGTAATTAAGTAAATGATCTGGGTACTTCTTCCACCTCTTCTTTTGGCACATTTAACTGTGTATTGATTTCCACTTTCCACCGCTGATGAGTACCATGCAGGTAAAAGAAAATAATCTTCCTCTTAATCTAAACTCTCCATCATTCATGAGGAACTCACCTCAGTTCATTCATGAGTGCAAACGCACCACACGCTCCGTCTCCGGTTATATTTAGCCGGCTGTAAATACAGTGAAACTGGTTGTTACAGCTCTCGGCTGGCCTTCAGCACACACGCCCACGCTCACCCTTCTGCAAAGATCCACTGAGGAGCATGAAACCATCATTAAAGGCACATTAAAAAGGGATTTGCCTGGCTGTACTTTATTTGTCAGAATCCCCTGGAAGGGCGGTTGACAGTTTGATGAGGGCGCAGATTTGTTCAGGGCGAGTGGAGGTGTATGTGTTAGATTCTCTCTGTGTGGGTACGATGTTTACTAGAGTTTACTGCTCGCGCACGTGATCCCCGACTCCCCTCGCTGATAACCCACCTGTGCTCACTGTACGCAGAGAGGTGATAGTCTGTCGATATGCTGCTGGTGACTCAGTGTGGTTCTCTGCCTACAGAATCTCACCCACGTACAATATGGACAAGTTAACTCTAACAGCCAATTATTCACTTTTTTTGGCTGGAGAAACTATGGAAACCCTGTGCAAAACAACAACAACAACAACACGCATGATCCTGATGAATATTAATGCTTCCCTTCGGGGTCGGACTAAATATCTCAGCTTATTCTGTTGCACATTCAGCACGTGCAAATACAGAATAATGCTTGATTATTACCCTGGTAATCAGGGTAGTCTTTATTACTTTAAAGCATCACTTAAATTCAAGTGTTGGTGTCGATTAAAGTGCAGGAACAGAACATGAACTCTCATCATCATGTTGAGTTTTATATCTCGTCAAGGTGGATTTCTCTGCAGGTTGTTGTTGTACATTAAATAAACCTGATTGTGTTTTGTTTTTTATATAATTGTGCTGCTGCAGTTTAAATATGTTGTGCCATTAAGACAAATCTTCCATTGAGTAATAAATAAAAATATGTGTTTTCATGAAACTGTTGACCTTTGTTGTAATTAGCAGTATTGTAGGTAAACAATTCATGAATAAAAAGCAAAGAATCCTCCTTTGACACACTTTTCCTTGGAAAGGATTTTTTCTTGCAACACATTTAACTTATTTATTATTATTCACAGACTGAATTGTAGAAAGGAGGGAGAAGATCACTTAGAGGAGAGGTTATGAAATCCACACACTGTCAGCACTAATTAGTTCATTAAAGCAACAATTGAGCAAGAAAATGTCTCAGTGATGACAGACAGAACTAGAAAAGTGCAATCACTGCTGTATTTAATGAATGAACACAACCTACAGTTGACCAAACCCCCGTCTAGACACCAATGGGCTGTCAGGCGTCATAACAACTCAAAAACAAGCAGCGATGTGTGCAGGCAATCAGCTCAAAGTCATACAATCTTGACAAAAACAGAGTCAAACACACCAATTGTGTATGTAAGTTCTGTTAGCCGTTAGTAAAATGTCCGTCCAAATCAATAAAAGTGAACAAATGGTTTACCCTACTGTGTCTCTGGCTGCAGAGCAGCGACTGGGGGTCGGAGTATTGAGTGAGGATTCAGCAGGCAGTCAGTGACGGTATAAAACAGGCAATAAAAGGTGTTTGGAGAAAGTGTGAGTCACTGCAGCCACGAGCGGTCCTTGAGCATGCAGCCATAATGAGACTCCTAAAATAAGATGCAGTTTGCTGCAGCAGAATGAGAGATTAGCCGTGGACAGACACAGAGATGCACAAGGACGGACGTGAACAATGGCATGATTCTCCTGGTGGGGATCATAGTGACAGAAGTATTCTCAGCAGCACATTAATCAGTGAATAATCAGGCCAACAACTATTGACACACCAGAAATACAACATAATAAAACATCTCCTGCACATTTTATAGCTTCTTTCGAACTCTGACTGGATTCGTTGTTTCCTCGTATGTCTGTAAATCATTTGTAGTATAAAACACCTGACGTTCCGTTCAATAAGGAATTTGTATTCATGACGTGGCGTTAATGTGGTTAATGTTTTTGTGTGGTTGTACTCTGTGTTAATAAAATATCCTTCATCGTGTTCTTTTCATGAGCTCACTAGCACTTGTGTTTCCTGACTTCATGTTCACCATTCAGTCGTCACCCGCGCTGAAGCCTGTCTCTCTTTCATTTTCTCACCTAAAAGCAGTTTGCACATTTGTGTTTTGGGAGCGTAACTTAAAACTACAGATGTGCACAATTTTATAACAAAGGTTTTGCATGTAAGATCATAAACTACAAAGTGACGGATGATGGTGATGGATGGAAAGTAAAGGGATCACTAAAGTAATTAAAAGTAATCCTGAGGGGACCATTAATGTTTGTAGTAAATAATGGAAGTTATTTCACTCAGACACAAATGTCAACGCGCTATAGGATAAGTCATTAGGATCACCAAATTCATGAGGGCTTATCCTCTGGGGATCATGAATGTTTTGTAGAAAATGTCATGTGAACTCATCAAATATTAAAATGACGACTGGAGCAAAGTGATGTCTACAAAATATCAAGTCTCACACAGTCAAAATACAATTTGAAGTATTAAGTACCAGTAGATCATAAATGTACTACAGTAATCTTGTTACTGTCCACCTGTTGGCATTTAAATCGATGTGAGGATGTAAAAATACAGAAATAATCAGCGGGCGAGATATAAAATAACTTCTGTTCACGCTGCGTTCACCATCTGCCGTCAAGGATCCCTGCAGGACGACATGTGGGTGTGTTTGATATGAGTCACAGCTCGGCTGTCAGGTGATGTTGCAACGTAGAACACATTTCAAATGACAGGAATCACACAGAGATTGTAGCCGTTGACATGCACTTGAGTGACCACCTAAGGGCAACACAGACACTGGTCTCTTTTAAAACTGGCCTAAAAACCTTTTTATTCAGGAAGGCGTTTCTGACCTAAATCAGTGTCAGTTATTTCTTTTGTTTCTGTTCATTCACTGTTTTTTTTTATGCTTACTAGTTATTTTATTATAGTTTGTTTTAACTGTTTTAACTATGTTTTTTACTATGTACTGGCTCTGTGGCACTCTGAGATTTTTTTAATGAAAAGTGCGTTACAAATAAAATGCATTATTATTATTATTATAGTTACGATCAGTTGTTTGTTAAGTCTCAGGATAATTGTTGAATGCAGATGTTGAAAAGACCAGATGTCACCACCTGACAACCAACTGCATGTAGCTGTCATCCATCACACAGACGGATGACCACTTACTAAATGAATCAGATTGCCTGACCTTTGCGGTGCATAAACAACATCTTCATTAGATCCAGAGGTTCGTTTATAAAAAACACTTGAGGCCCGATGAGTGACAGCAGAGAAGATGCTCAGTGAACCGGAACAGAACGGGATCTGTCACACAGAATGTTCCTAGAGACACCAATCTGTGTGTGAGTGAGTGAGGTGTGGTTATGGAGGAGATTTACCAATAAAACATATTAGGAAAAATGCTCTGGTGGATCATGAACAAAGCTTGAATGATGATTTTTTTTCAATTTCATGTGTAAAACTAAGTGGAAGGAAATGGAAGGACAGGAGATTTAACAGGAAATTGCTTTGTTCTCAATTTGTACAGGCTTTTATTTTTGTGAAAAAATAATGCTGTTCTGGTTTCACGTACATTTAACAACATGCAAAGTGCAAATGATGGTACTTGATGGCAATATGTATCATTACCTATTTGAATTGATAGTCTTATGATGAAAACATACTCTTAAGGCCGTGCAAAACTACTGTGCAATAAATTATTTTTAGAATAAATAGAAGAGTGTAAAAATAAGAATTAGAAACAGGAAATATTAGGGCCACACTGGGCAATGCATGATCACTTGCATTATTACATTGGGTCAAATATAATTTCACAAATACCTTTGCCTTTGTTATAGTGAGTAGTATAATATGATATAATAAGATATTAGAGACACTGCTGTTTCCTTGGCATGTTTGTGAGGCTGTGTTTCTCCATATATGTGAAATAAACAAATCTGGGGCTGTATGTGTACATATACTGTATGTGTTTTTTCCTTATGTCTTTCCTTTGGAAAGCACTTTGTAATTGTAATTGAGAAGAAAAACTATTTTAATAATAATTATTATTATTATTATTAATACATTATTTTATTATTATTTTTTTTATCTTTTTATCTTTTTATTTTTTTATTTTTGTTTTATTTTTTATTTCTTTATTTTTTATTTTATTATTTTATTATTTTATTATTTTATTATTTTATTATTTTATTATTTTATTATTTTATTATTTGGTTATTTGGTTGTCTTAATTTGAAAACATATTCACCGGAAGTGACAGTATTGCATTGAGACGCCCTCTAGTGGTCACAGTTTTTTACTGATGTTCGTTAC